TTGATTCAACAAGTGATGGATGCTGAACACTTTTCCTCCCAGGCTCCAATGACTGTCGGAGTGGCCAATCTTTCTTGATGTAGTGGGAATCTCTTGCACGACTATCCCATTCGCAGAGAAAACAGCAGTACTTTGTGTATCCAGTCTGCAGACCAAGCAGGTGGCTGAAGAAATGACTAGAACAACAAGAATGTTGTATTGTGATTGGCTCTCTCTCTGTTAGGGCTGATGGATTGATCGATCAAGGTGACCAAGTATTTATCAGTAATTAAGAAAATGGACACGAGGAGAAATACTAAAATGAAACAGGTAAAATGTAAAAAAGTTTTATCTATCTATCTATACGTATAGTACTTACTCATCTGACAAAGTTTTTTTGAGAGACTGTAGTCTTGATCCATAATTGCTTTCAGGAACTAAAAGAACAATATAGTTTAGTATGAAAGTTAATATAGAGAATTGTTGATGTGCACACTTTGAGAATTAGTTCCAAGTTTGGTCAGTTTTTATATAAAAATACTTTAGTGAGAACTTTGATCAATTTTCCCAACAGCTATAAAGTGCGGAATTTTTCTATTGTTCTAAGTAGATCCACCAGGGGACAGTGGACAACTGCTAGTCCCACCATTACTTGTACAAACTCCATCTCAGCTACTATATCTTAGAATTGAGGATTATATTTCTGTGTAAGTGTGTTACTCTGAGCACACAGCCAAGTTACTCTGGAAACATCTAGGTACGTGTGTTGTTTTACAAATGAGTAGTCCAATTGACTCCAGTGGAACTACTCACATGAGTAAAGTCATGCACGCTCTTAAATGTCTTCAGGATTGTGGCCTAAGTTTGGTGAGAACTGATTTTTTTTTTTTTTACAACAGGTATCCTAAGTAACACCTGTGCTCACATAATAAGGTAAAAATTAATAGCCCTGAGAGATGTATTTGACAAGAGTAAATAACACAAGGCTTCACTGTCAGTATGGCACAGTGTGGACAAGGGACTTGAATCAAGCCCTGACAACACCTGTTGGGTCCACAGTTTATTTTTGGCATCAGATGGAACAGTCTTGGATCTCAAACATGCTATCATTCATTTCTATCAAATAAGGGGGCGGGGGGACTCCAAACCAAACATAAATCCACGAAGATCTCAATGACCTAAAAGCAGTAATATTAAACTAACAAATGGAAATCCACAACAGACCCATTTAATTGATGTTTGAGGTGGCATTATCAGAACAGAGAGACAATGGTTAAAAGCAGTATAAAAATCTACTTATATAATTAATGACAGGATATTAAAAACTAATTATCACATAAGCAAACATGATATATACAGTGGTCACCCCAAAAAATAATAAAAAAAATTAAAAAAAATACAACATTGGCAAAAAGTTATCTGAGGTATCATCATTTTCTCTTCTTAGACAACAGAGTATCTCAGACAGCAGTGTGTGGTAACTGCTGGATATTGTTTTAATAATGAATATTATTACTGTTCTTTCAGTTGAAGTCAAGTAGGCAATCTGAGAGTTGTTAAAGTCAACAGTTCTCTTTAAATTCTTGGAGCTATGTTCATAATTGGCAGAGCCTAAATCTACACTACTTTCAGTTTTGCCAATGCCTCTCATACAGCATAGGATCTAGATTTAAGTCTCTGACCCTTCCCACCTTTTGAACTCTCAATAGCAACTAATAAGGCTTTGTCAGCTACTGGAAAGATAGTCAGTCCCCCCAAAAGAGGAGCTGAGTAAAGTTTTCTTCAGCTTGCCGTTCAAAAATCTTATTCCAGAACGTTTCTTACTGCACTGTCATTTTACCTGTAAGCGTATTAGTATCACAATGACAGTGCACTCTTAACTTTAAAACACATACTTAACTCTTAATGAAATCAATGGGACATAAGCATATGCTTAAGTACTTTGCTCCATTGGGGCGTTTGACAGCAACACTACATATCTCATGCTTTGTTTTTTAAAAAAGGAGGAACTGGATGTTGAGCAAACACAACCAATTAGCTGAAAAAAACATACCATCTACCACTTCCCAAACATTTTGATATTCAAGTCTAGGTAACAGGAAAGAAAAAAACAAAACATTTCTCCATATACACTGCGTACTCCAAATGAGTATTAAACACACCGTGGGCACTCAGGATCTCTTGCAGCACTTAGAACAGAAGCCATCATACAAACTGACTAAACTGTTTTCCCTCTTCAAGCAACTAAATACAGGCACACATCTTTTACACAGGAATATTTTTTGAAAAATTGTTTTTGACAGTATCAGCAGTGATTTTGTTTGCATAGTACATACATAAAAGACTAGTTTTCAACAGAGTATTTACCATTATAGTGCCAGTCGCAGAGCCCCAAGTATTCCACAACTGCAGAACTTGCCATAATTCACCCCTTGCTGCACAACTGTGGTTTAGAATTCTATTAAAAAATTAAGTTTCTAGCCCTTATGGCTATGCAAACCTAAAAAATGTAAGCCAAGGGTGAACCGTGGCCATCTGAGTCTACCAGCCTGAAAACAATACTTCTGAGAGATGTGAATGGCCCCAGTCATGTCACTCTGGGCTCCAGGGACTCTGACTATGCAACAGTGGGCTTTGACATTTTTGGCATTTTTCCAAGATATCAGAATTCAGTAAACTCTGCAACAAAAATACTATTTTGCTGTAGCCAGATGCCTAGCATCTTGAGTTCTTTTGTTATCTTGTCCTACTGGGACCTGCCTGAAGCTGCCTCTTACTCTGCATCTTTAGCCACAAAGGGGAATTAATTGATTATAGTGCATCACTATTGGACAGAAAAGACAAGAGAGGTTCAGGGAGCAAGGGCTAGAGACCAGTTTGTGGTAGGGTGACCAGATGTCCCGATTTTATAGGGACAGTCCCGATTTTTGGGTCTTTCTCTTATATAGACTCCTATTACCCCTTGCCCCCGTCCCAATTTTTCACACTTGCTGTCTGGTCACCCTAATTTGCGGCCAGGGAGCAGGGGGAAAACCAGAAATGCAGGCTGGGCAGCTATACTGTCTAAAGAATAGAGGCCTGTGGAACTCAGATGAACCACTGAATCGGACTATAAGCTCTCCATTTTCAATGGCATGCATGATGAAGGGAAAAGAGATTGGGAGCTGAGACGCCCAGACAACATTGTAACCACTGAAGCCCACTGACTTGGGTCATCTGGAGGACAAAACAAAAAATATATAAAAAATAGTCATTGCTGAAAATAATCATTGATGAATTGTACATCAATGAGTATTTTCAATTTTGAAACATGGTCGCCAGCATGTCTGCACGACAGATACAATAAATCAACACTGATGCAGAATTAGGCAGAATTATGGAGTGTTTGCTACAGAATTGGGTCCCCCTGTGCTGCAGAGTACATGGGTCCCTCAGTCTATGTTCACATTGGTTCGGGGGGGGGGGGGGGGGGGAGGGGAAAGGTGAAATTTACCTCTCCCAGCAACTCTATTGGTGCATTTATTTTTCTATCTTCATTTTCACTGCTGCTTTCATCGTCATCTGTAGTTTCTGACAGCTGCTCATCAGTATTATGGTCCTCAATACTATTTGTCGGAAATTCAGTGCTGAGTTCATTATTTGCTGGCTTTTCTATATTTCTGGAATTTTTTTCTTTATCATCTAAATTCAAAATTAATATTATATCAGCGATAAAAACAAAATACTTAGCAGTTACAGAGGATTTTATGTGCTCAAAGTGATTCATAAGCATTAACTAGTTAATGAGGATCACTGACAAGGTATTTTTGCATACAGTTGAAAAATATTTTCTGTTTATCTTCTTACATCAAAAAGGTAATGCTTACATTACTGAGCTCAACTATGCCCTCATATACACTAAGATAATTACCACTGAAGAAAATAAGAATTATATGGTGCTCCTCTCAGGGAAGAATTAGGCCCGCTGAATGTAACATGTCTTTCCTGGAACTCCATTTTAAAACGTGTTATATTACAGGAACTCAGCTGTAATGCCATTCTTTCTGCTAAATATTCTGAAAGAAGAGTAATTGTACTGATGGTACTTATAACAATGTTTGATCTGCTGGGAGCCAAAAGAAAGTATATTTTTGTTTCACAGAAAGAGAGTCTTACATGTCTTCAAAAGCACTAAAGAATAACTACTTTACCTTAAAAAGAATGCAAATTTGAGAAAGTAATAGTTGCTTTGGGAACCATAACTCTCACCTTTCTAACTTTTGTTCCATTTATATTCTCAATCATAACGGTGCATTAAGTATTTATTGTTTCTTTCATTTAATTTCTTCTTCATTATATTTGTAAAGGTTTTCCCATGAGTACATTTTGGGTATTTTAAATTGCTGCCATGTCATATATGAGTAATACCGAATACCACAAACTGCAGACTAGCATTTCTTGGACTTGCCTAACAAAACAAAAACAACCTCATCTGTCACTTTTAAGTATTATAAAGCATTAGTTTACACCATTCCTCTAGTGAAGAGGAGTATACAGCCTGGCAATTTTGAAAAAGCTGCTGTCTTGGTCTGAAACGCCATGGTGTGGAGGGTGTTTTTATTATTATTATTAAAGATAAAAGCTCTCTTCCAGCACAAATACAATGGAACAGTCCACAGAGGCTTAAGTGCATGAGATGATATCTCTTTTCCCTAAGAGGTATTAGAATGTCCAGTTAATCAAATGATCTACTGGCTGAACACATAGGTGCTTTAGAATGAAAAGAAAATAAGAATTGTGATTGAATGCACATTCAAATAAGCACATCTATATGCATAATTTTACAAGGACTTATTCACTAATGAAGGAATTCATTTCTCAGGTCTCATATATAGGACTATATGTTGAAATGAACACACAGATTAGTGCCTAATCTTTTGAGTTTAAAATCAGTGAGAGGTCAATAAAGGTTGCTGGTCTTGGCTGAGTCCTAATGGGTATTTGTTCACATCATTGAACCATGACCTACTGGAGTCCAGCTGACAGCCTCTCCTGCAAAGTCCCAAGATTGAAATAAGGAGGCATGAGCTACTGGCAGACTAGGTGCAAAGCTTGGATTGTGCCTGCTTGCAATATATGCCCTTCTTTAGCCAAATCTCTCATCTTAAATACATAAACTACAAGCTAATGTGTTTGAGGAGAAGTACTAGGAAATTGTGGTAACAGGTCTGAAAGTTTTCTGAGATTTCAAATTAACAAAGTGCAGAAACATATACAAACACACATCCTGTTGAAGTCAATGCAAAGACTCTAATTGACTTCAGTGGGCTCTGAATCAGGATCATAAAAGCAGTGTGGGTTCTGGTACAAAAATTTTACCTCAGCTGTAATACCATTCTTTCAGCTAAATATTCTGAAAGAAGAATCATTGTGCTGGTGGTGCTTATAACAATGTTTGATCTGCTGGAAGCCAAAAATGCAGTACATTTTTGTTTTACAGAACGAGAGTCTTATAGGGACATCAATTGTACCAATTTTATCCTTAAGAGGTTCTCCTATAGAGCAAGCTAGCTAACAGCAGATATCACAGAACAAAGTAATAAGGAAGAAAAATGAAAGTTGAAGAAAAGACAACTTCTAATTAGAAAAAAACCCTGGAATTCATAAAGTTAATGAATACCAATAGTTTGTTATGGCGGGGGGGGGGGGGGGGCGTTGCAGCTCCATTATTAAGGCTGAGCTGTTTTGCACTTAAATCAGAGATTCAACTGCTTATGTATATAAAAAATTGTGTATCCTAACCAAATTTACCAGCACTTACTCTTTGATTATAGAATTAATTTACATTCCTTTGATTAGTTTAGGAATTAAAATTAAATTTAAAGACAAGAAATTCAGCACCTGCTGCCAGACTTTTTGTCCCAAATGATCTTATGAACAAAATAATGCATATTTTTCAAAATTTCCCCTATGGTTTACTTACTGAAATCTTCACATTGTGTAGGCTACATTTGAAATTTTTTTTTTATATTAATGGTCATTTCCCCCTGTGATACACTGTTCCTCAAAATAGCACCCTGTAATCCCCATAGTCAACATTCATATATGGTTATGATATTTCATACAAAGCATGCCATGTAAGATATCATATTAAAGGTCATGATCTCCTGAAACCCATGGTTCTGTCCAAATATGTATATTGTTAGTGTGTATGAAGTCATGAGACTTTGCTGTATGGTTGTTATTAAAATATATTGTAAGTTTGGGAGTCCTCCACTGCTAGTTCTCCAGTAACAACAAAGGAGGTGCTCCACAGCCCGGTGGGTGTTAAATGACCATTATCAGCAGGGGAATTGTAAACAAGGGATTTACAATGCTGTAAGAGAGTTGCACAAGCACCACAAGCAATGGGGGATTGCTCAACACTGTGACTCAGCAAGGCCCACCAGGACATGTCTGGGCTAGTATTTTTCCGGCACATGGACTGAGTGTATAAAATAAAGGACAGTGACATCTTGCTTTTTACTTTTTCTCCTCCCCGACCTAGGCTGGAAGCAACAAGAATGCTGGGAAGACAAAAACTTGAACTGAGGAGATTGGTCCCAGGCTTAAATGGAAAGTCTGTGTATTAAGTACTGTAAACTACAACATCCAGTGGGGTGAGAAAAACTGCTTGATCCAAATACTGCTCAGTCTAATACGATTCAAAATTTAGACTGCATGCTTACCTTTTATTGTCTTTGGTAATTATCTCTGACCTTTCATGCCTACCACTTATAATCACTTAAAATCTATCTTTCTGTAGTTAACAAATCTGTTTTATATTTTACCTAAAACAGTGTGTTTTGGTAGAAGTGCTTGGGAAATCTCAGCTCAGTTTACAAAAGCTAGTGTGTCTCCTCTCCACATTGAGGGAGGGGCGGACTGAGTAATGAACGTACACTAGTCAAGCTTCTGACCAGGGCTAGATGGTCCAGTTCTAGGTAAAAGGCTGGGGGCTTGGGAGATCTGCTGGTGCCTTTCTCTATGTGATTCATGAATGGCTTAGGGAGCAGTCACGCAATTTAGCTGGGTGTCAGGCTCCACAAGCTGTTGTACTGAGTGATAACAGCGCCTGGAGAGGTTTGTGGCTTGTCACTAGCAAAGCACTGTGAGAAAGAGCCAAGACTGGAGAGTTAAGGGGGCACAGCAGTACCCCAGTTCCAGGCTGTACCCCAGGGATCCCATCACACACCCCAATTATTCCACAAATTGCATTCTTTCAAAATGGCTGCACTATTCTCAATAGGATTGAAGCCATAGGCTGCCTTCAAGTGACCATTTTGACATAGACATCTATCTCCCATTCTTCTCAAATGGGGCTGAGACTGTATCTATACAGGACTGAGGCTGTGTTTACACTGCCCTGCAGTTTGGACGAAAAGGGGCATGACCAGCCCAAAGTGCTGCACTGCAACTCCCCCATGTGGACACAGTGGGTGCAAACTAAAAGGTTCATAATTTGTATTAATGTAGTCCTCTTTGAAAAGTCCAAACTCTGAGGCAGCATACACAAGCTCTAAGTGTTCCTCTCCACTAGGGTTACCATACGTCTGGATTTTCCCGGACATGTCCGGCTTTTTGGTCCTCAAATCCCCGTCCGAGAGGAAATTCCAAAAAGCCGGACATGTCCGGGAAAATAGGGAGGGGTCGTGGGGTTTGGGTCTGGGCTGGAGCCTCTGGGGCCGGAGCCGGAGCCACTGGGGCCGGCCATGCTCGGCCGCCGGCCAGCGCCGCTCAGCCAGGGCCGGGGCTGGGCCGGAGCCGCTCGACTGGAACCAGGGCCCGAGCTGCTGGGACCGGGGCTGGGGGTGCTCGGCCACCAGCCGGCGCTGCTCACCCAGGGCCGAGGCCACTCGTCCGGGCCAGAGCTGCTGGGACCGGGGCTGGGGGTGCTCGGCCGCCGGCTGGTGCGGGTGCCCCAGGGCCCAGGCCGAGCTGGAGTCGCTAGGGCCGGAGCCGCTTGGCTGGAACCGGGGCCAGCATCCCAGGGCCTGAGCTGGGCCGGAGACGCCGGGGCCAGAGCCTCTTGGCCGGGGCCAGCCGCCGGAGGGAGCCGCTCGGCTGGGGGGGGCCGGACTGGGCCGCGCCTCCTCGCGCCCGTCCCCACCCCCTCCCCAGCTTACCTACTGCCTGCCTGCCTCACTCTTCCCGCGAACATTTGATTCGTGGGAAGCAGGGGAGGGGGAGGGGCATTCAGGGGAGGGGGCGGAGTTGGGGCGGGGCCGGGTGGGGAAGGGGCGCAGTTGGGGTGGGGCTGGAGGCAGGGCGGAGTTGGGGCAGGGGCGAGGCCCGTTGAGTGTCCTCCTTTTAGAATATTAAAATATGGTAACCCTACTCTCCACCTCCGAACAGCTCAGGGCCACCAGCTGAAGGCAGGTTGGCTTCACTCTCACTCGGCATAAGAGGACGCACTGACCATTTTGAAAGAGAGCAATTTTTTAGGTATTTCTCTGTATTTTTAGGTATCCTACTACTGCAGACTAGAGTAAAGCAATCAGGACATACTAGTGCATCTGGCTATAAAAAGTTAAAATTGTTAAAAAAAAATATTTAAAGCTGGTAATTCTAACGATTTGAAGATATGAAGTATCACATAGCATTATCTTTGAGTTTCTTGGTTGGAGTTAATGTATGGAATTTAAAAAACAAAGCCAGACATTCCAGAAAAAAATATATTAAGTAGCTTAAGAGTATATATCAGTAATTTAGGGTAAGATACATTAAAGGATGTTGTAATTATTACCAACCCAATTGTTGTAAATCCAGGAAATTCAGAGTTAAAAAGTTAAATTTAAAAGAAAGCCAAACATGTTAAGTTATGGAAATGCACTTAGGGCACCTCAATTCTGCCCTGTAGTGACACCACGAGGGTGTGTGTGTGTGTGTGTGGGAAAAATCTAGAATGTCTTTAAAAGTCAGTTTAATATAATCTAAGATCACTGACACTAAAATGCCTTAATAGTATGCATATAGTTGTTGCATAGAGCCACTGAAGGGCAGCACTAGCTTGCCTGAGAATGCTGTTAGGGTCTGATCCAAAGCCAATTGAAGCTAATGGGAATATATTGACTTCAGAGGACTTTGGCTCGGGCCCCAAGACAGAACAAGATCTCTTAAACTTTATACTGTGGTTAGCTCACCAACTATCCCAGTTTCTACTGCTGACTGCAGCTCCATAGAATCTTTCAGTAGTCTTCTCGCCAGGTTTTAGAGAGTTTCAAGTTTGCATCAACTTAGTTCTTTATTAACTAGCCTTGACTTAACTATGACATCATATGCTAGCTCATAAAAGGGAGTATAAGTGCTGGCAGAGCAACTGTATATTAATCACCAAGATTCCCTTAAAGGGCAGTAAAACTGTGCTACATACTATGTCAATTATTAATATTTGATATGGAATTGAAATGCTGGTAAAAAGGAACTTTAACACTAAGAACTCTAACAAGTAAACAGTGAGCAGTTTTCAAGGTTAACACTTTCTGTCATGCAGATTTGAAAGAAGTCAAATTATCATGCCAAAATGGCTTCTTCCAACAACAATCACGTGAGAGCTGATGAGGATGCAAATGTGGGCTGAGTCATGTGTTGTGTGGCTATACCTTGAAAGGAACATTTGGAAAAATAAATATAACAGCAGCATAAACAGAAACCCAACCTTGTTTACACAAGGACAACTATTACAATAGTGAATGTCTTTAAAATATATGTCTTTCTATAAGAATGTGTCATATGCCCTCAAAAGGGATGTCTGTGAACATCTTTGTTTGCTTGCCTGGGATTGATGAACAGGCTAACACCTTGGAACATCAAAAGGATCACTGACTAAAACTTGGGGGATTGGAGATACCTGAGGAGGAAGGAAGGATGGATGACAGTTATCTTGAGCGGAAAGATTGTTTCACTGCCAACCTGCTCAGCAAAAGCGGCAGAGGAGAAAGAGAGAAGCTCACCAGAGAGGATGTGTTCTTCATAAAATGTAATGTCCTTAATTGTACCTACCTATGTTGTTTAGAAATTAAGAATAAATACGTTATGCAGGCTGTTTCTCTGAAGTAAAACTGGATTTTCTCTCTCTCTCTACTTAATATATTTTATTTTTGATCAGACCAATTGAATCATGTTTTACAGTATGTCTTTGAAAGGAAGGCAACATTCTGACAAAGTGCCGCCCAATGACTGGTTGGCGGATGACAAGAAATGGCAGGAATAGGTTACACTTACTAGTAACTGATTTCACTTTGTTTAGTTTTTATATTACAGCAATGGCACTAGTAGCAACAACTATAGTTAATATTATAAAACAGTTCCCATTATAAACTAGGGATTTTACCATGTTTATTTCAGGCTACTTTAGTGCCTTGTAACTTTCTACAAAAAAGATCTTTTATAGGTCTATTTAAACTAACTGCATACATCTGAGCAGACATTATTTCATTAGAAATAGAGATTAGAAATGAAGTTTTTTAAAATCTATTTTTTGCATCCTATGTTCCCATTCTGTGTAATCACACAATAAAAGGCTGCTTACTGTGCTGCCATTGCAGCCAAGAAATGAGGCTTGCAGAACCTGAGCAGAAAGTGAAACAGCTTGTAATTTACAGAGGACAATGTGAACAGGATGTTAACTCCACTGAAAGAATCATTAAAATAACTTTGCTATTTTGTAAGGTTTACTTTATATTTTTTAAAATAGACTTACAATTATAATAAGTATTATTTTCTTGGTTGATTCTAGATTATTCTGAAAACCTGAATTGCTAGTTTAGCATTTAGCGAACAGCACGATGGATCTATTTTTAATGGCCCATATACCCTACAAGCATAGTGCTGGCACATAGTTCTCTGCCACAGTTAGTGGTGTCTGTGTTATAACACTTTTTTACCGCTAGAGAAGATCTGTAACCATGCTGAGAAACAGTATTTTATATTCCCTACTGACCTTAAAGATTTCCCATATTATTTTCCTTTATTTAAAAAAAAAAACCAAAAACCCAGAAAAAGAGTAAGTTATGGGTCCCAACAGCAATATTAATACAGTCACATTGCTGGAATCTTAACTTTTGCATATTGTGACTTCTTGTATTTCTAACTATGCAACCTTAACATTATATGGTATTTTATTAAATGTTATTTTGATTAATTTATTTTGTTTTTTTAGTGCCTGAAGTGTATGTAGAGGATTGGAGGCAATTTATAAACCTTGGGCCAAATTGTGCCTGGCCCTGATAGGAGTGCACAGCATAAGCAATTGCACACATGCATAACCCCCTTGCCCACCCTAAATCAAGACTTGTCTACAGTTACAGCGCTGCAGCAGCAGGTGCAGCTGCGCAGCTGTAGCACTTAGTGGACACGCTACCTACGCCAACGGGAGACCTTCCACTGGCACAGGTACTCCACCTCCCGAAGAGGCGGCTGCTATGTTGATGCGAGAAGCCCTCCTGTTCACATACTATCTACATTGGGAGTTAGGTTGCTAAAATCCACATCCCTGAGTGATATAATTATACCAACATAAATTTGTAGTGTAGACCAGGGCTAAAAGCAAAGCAGAAATCAGTCCCTTTCCTCAGACCCAAAACACAGAGTAGCTGGCTGCAGGAGGAAAAGACAGATGCACCGCAAGAAAAAGAGCAATAGCAAGAGGTGCAGCCTCTACATTCCCCAAAGACAGAAGGCCACCAGTGCTCCTTTTGGGGTAGTGTGGTTGAGATCCACCCCTTATTGTGGGCTGTGTCTAAAAGGTACAAATTAAGCCTCAGACTACTACACTTTCCCCATACCAATCTCCTAAGCAAAAAACATTTTTTGAAATAATAAAAGGCAACTTTGAATAGAAAATATTTGCATGGAGAATTGTCAGGGATTCAGAGATACATTTCACTTGAACCAACCAACCAATGACTTCTGATTTGATACTATCTGTCCTAGCTTCACTGATTGCTGTTTCATGATGTAGTTTGCATAAATCAATTTTTAATTGCTCATGTGTATAAAATTCTATAAAATTAAAACAAGGGATAAAAAATTGCAGTGTTATTGTGCAATTAATGTTATTTCCAAAAGAGAAATGATAATATATGGTATTCTATGGAGACATTTATTAAAAGAAAAATCTGCACAACCTAATGTGGAGTTTCCTTTGCAGAACCACTTCACATGGGGTCAAGTCTTCTTGTACGCAATACATTACTGAAGCAAACAGAGTTCTAGAAGTTCAGAACCTCCAAAGTCAGATAATATATTGTACATGCTCTCTGATGGCATGTGCTGTTCTGTTGTGTCATAGCTATGAAATTCTAGCCCCTTTTCAATATAACTGAGAACAGTGTCTTCCATGAACACTGTAGATATTCTCTAGAGCAGTGGTTCCCAAACTTGTTCCGCCACTTGTGCACCTGCCGCGTCCGCAGGTTCAGCTGATCGCGGCTCCAGGCCAATGGGAGCTCCTGGATGTACTGGCCGCTGCTTCCAGCAGTTCCCATTGGCCTGGAGCAGCGAACCGCAGCCACTGGGAGCTGCGATCGGCTGAACCTGCGGACGCGGCAGGTAAACAAACCAGCCCGGCCCGCCAGGGCCTTTCCCTGCACAAGTGGCGGAACAAGTTAACTCCACTGAAGGAAGCAGGTGCTTGGGGCTAGGGTGACCAGATGTCCCGATTTTATAGGGACAGTCCCGATTTTTGGGTCTTTTTCTTATATAGGCTCCTATTACCCCCTCACCCCCATCCCGATTTTTCACATTTGCTGTCTGGTCACCCTACTTGGGGCAGCCAATGGAAAGGGGCGGCAGGTCCCTCAGTCCCTCTCGGAGTGAAGGACCCACCGCCGAATTGCCGCCGAAGAATTAAGCGGCACGGCTCAGCTGCTGTTGAAGTGCCGCTGATTGGGGCTTTATTTTTTTTTCCCCCCACTGCTTGGGGCAGCAAAAAAGCTGGAGCATAAGGCCTCAGATATCACATTCAGTCCTTACAAGAAAATCCTATTCTTTCCACAATCATGAAGCACAGAAACTAATATCACTTTATAATCTCTACTCCTTACCCATTTGTTACTCATTTTTTGGGGATGTGGCTGGTTGAATAAAAGACCTATCTGTAACTCAGTGAAGAAAGTGCAAATCTTACCTGTAGTTTCTTGTATGTACTGGGGTGATCTTAAATTAGTCTCTTGAATCCTAGATGAATTTTTCTTTTTTATAGTTTTTGCAGAAGCGTCCCATCTACATGTTGGATATTATTTACAGTAAAAAAAATTAAATAAGCATCATAAAAAGACTAAAAATAACACATCTCTAGGTTAAGCCAATTTTTACAGAGATGTAACAGCAGCAGCACCAAAATAATAAGACAAATATGATAACCCTGTCATAATTAATAACTGCTTCTTATGGAAAAGTGATTTGCCTGCTGGATGACTGTGCACTTTTTGAAGGACATGATGGATATTTCCTGACATAAGATATATTCCTTAATTGATGGTGAGATTAAGAATTCTCCTAATCAAAATTATAAATTAACAAAAGGGAGCTAAGTAAATTTAGTTACTATTTCTCTTCTGCCATGGCTTCCCCACAGCAGCAGGAGCTCCAGCTCTCATCCCAAGAAGTCTCCTTCCACTGCCTTGGATTTCCAGGGACTTTACTACACCCATTTTATTTTAAGATAATTAATCCAAGGACAACCTGGAGCTCAGTTTGGTTCTCCAACAAAAAAAAAAAAAGAAGGTTGATTCAGGTTGGGTATAGTAGGGCTTTTTGGTAGCCATGTCAGTAGCTTGTCCAGTGCTGTGTTTTTACATTGCTTAGTGTTTACACTGCACTGTTTAATGTTTTCTGATTATTCTCTGGCAGCTCAGGATACTATTTGCCCAGCTCACTCTTGCTCACTCTACGCACTGACAATCCACGCTGGCTGCAGTCATCTGAGCTGCCTAACCAATGCTCATGCTATCAACGTGCTTTTGTCTTGCCTATACACCAAACCAACCTAGGCTTCATATTAGAATTTTTGTCCTTCTGATGTACATCCCCCCCCAAATCTTGCTAGTTCCCAGCCCAAGGAAGTGGTCATTAAGTTGTGATGGGGACACAGGGCCATTTGATATTCATTTTAGCAAGATTTCCAGCCCAGAATTTCCTCCCAGTGACCATAAATCCATCATCCTTTGTCAGAGTGCTCCTGACTGGCCAGTACCTGAAGCATTAATCCAAAGGGTTAAAATTATTTATTTAAAAAGCACAAAGTTAATATTTTAATAGCCCATTTTTCTTAAATGCACCTAGCAAGCTACAAAGATGTAAGACTTACTTTTCAAAAGTTGATTTAGCTGCACATAATGAGATTTGTTTTGTTGGGGTATAAACTTTGTTTGTAGATTCTGGTCCAAATCCATGCTGCCTTGGTTTAAATTAAAATGGTTTTTCACATAAAGAAAGACAAATCAAATATTGCCATTAACTGCAATATAATTATGTTCATTCCATTGATACTTGTGAACTTGTGGCTATCCAAGATTTGTACCATCTGCCCTTTGCCCCACTAAAAATCAAAACAAACAAAAAAAGGCTGTGATCTGTACAATGGCCTCAATACATGATGCCATTTTTTCCCTTTCATTTAAATGTATATTGTGATATAAAAACCCAGTGCTGAATTTAGCCCTCACTGGAGGCAAGTCATTAACCTGAATATTTACATCTTTCTTTATATAGATTATATACAACAGAGATAACTGTATTTCTGTTTATGTATAAGAAATGCTGAATAGCTGTTTCAAACTTTGACAGTCAATAAAATGGTTAAAATTGTAAATTATTTTATCCTCACATCTTTGTGGTACAAGACTACCATCCTACAGCATATCAATCTCCATAAAGAACAATCTTTAGCAACTAGCCCAACTAAGCCTCAGAAGACAAATTTTACCTGATTAGTTCCCCATCCATGTTGAGAATATTCCCCTGTTCTTCTACACATACTAAATGTTGTAGTTAATGAAAAAAAAATATATTTTATTTAATGGCATGTGCTGATTAAATGAATTAGTAGTGGAAATCACATTTATTGATTATCAGTTCTCAGATAGATCATCAGCTTCCCTGTGTGTTTACAGTAGGGATCTAAAATGTTAACCTCCAGGCCGGCCGGCCAGAGCAGCCCCAGCTGGTTTACCATTTAAACAAAATATTTTTAAATCATTTAAATGGTTAACTTTTTTAATGGTATTTACATTCCTAGTTTACAGCTCACAAACATTTACTGTACCTTTTTAATAACTCTCTCAGAATGACAATGACAACTGATTTAAGCAACTGAATATGCTTCCCAAAAAGAGTTTATGTAGCTTGCTACATTAAAGCACAAAAATATAAAGTTGGGATCACAGAGAAGTTCATTTTCAACATTGATTTTTGCATCTTGAATCTTCAAATCCCCAAAACAGCATGTCATTTGAAGTCTTGAAAGTAGATCAATAACATCAATAGTTTCCACAAATAACCAAATCATCATCAGCATGATTAAGTCAGTGAACATATGAAGCTGCCAGCTAACTGAGTGCCAAGTTCATTATTTATCTTCATTTTTATTTCAGAAAATAGAAACTCCAGTAGACACCATTTAACAAATAATGACAGATTGTTCATTGGAAAGAAGTATTTTCTCCAGTTACAAAGTCTGAGGGAATGTTTGTCTAGTACCTCCTATTACCTTTCAAAATCCCAAACACTTTTAAAATCCAATTACATTAGCTCACATAGGTGATAAAGCTACTCAGACACGGAATACAACAAAAAAATCCATGGACAGATGGAGTTTAATATCTATTCCTCAACAATATTGATATAGACAGTATGCAACTAAAAACAAGAATTAAACTGAATAAGGCACTCTTGGATTTAAATAATAAAGTATTACTTAGTTTTGAGAAAATGAGAGTAGATGCATGCAAATGGAGAAAATGCAATATGTTGTCTGTACAAACTATATATTGGCATATCTTATATATGATATAACTCCTACATACCTTGGTTCATTAGCCTGACGTTGTCTTTAACTAATGCTTTTGCTTAAGAATCTAGACCAAATTTCCAAAAGTGATTTTGAGTGCCCAACTCGAACCACTTTAAAAGGTGTCTGATATTCAAAGGGCAGGTGCTTAATACTTTCTGAAAAATCAGACTCCTTTAAAGTATCTTAAAGTGGGCATCCAAAAATCACTTTTGCAAATTCATACCATACAAAACATAAGAAGGCCTATACATAACTGATTAGGAATAGGCCTTTCTAGTGAGTGGGAATAAATCAAATGCAATATAGCAGTTAACTCCTATTTTCTCCTTTTAATTAAATATTAAAATAAATTCTATGCCTGTGATTATTACTACAGGTACTAACCAGTTTACACTGATTGTTCAAGACCATTATAATGTAGTATTTCTATTAATTTAAGATGACTTTTCCAAAATAATTTTTTTGAAGATTCACCAGATAAAGTCTACATGGAACTGAATGAGAATAGATAAATAGATCGCATCCAGATTGCAGGGAAGATGTTCTCATATCTTTTATACCCATTTTCTAACACAGGAAACAAGCAGCTGTGAACTGACTTTTGAAAATGTACAGGTAATTCTTCCAACTGTGTTAGGTGCTACAGAGTACCCTTAACTGAATAAGAGTTTTCAAGCTTCAGTAAAATATGGAGACAGTCTCAACATACTTATACAAACTAGGGGTTACATATTCATATAATAAATACCTCCATTCAATTAACTGCCTGTAATAAAGCTCAGTGCTAGAAAAAGAGACAATGCCCATTCTTATAATATAATTACTCTTTTACTAGAGATGAATATTCCAAATTTTTATACTGATTTAGTGATTTATTTAATCTACACATTGTAATGAATTGCAGTTATATTTTACATAATGATTGTTCGGGGGAGCAGGAAAATCACAAATGGAATTTATTCCAATTCCAGCAATGAAAAAAACCTAGTAACTAAAGCAATTTTATAGAGTCATATGGTAAGAGAAGTATCATAACATCAAGAGCAGTCCATTTGGCAGGAATTTTAAGACAAAGTATTAAAAAGTGGCTTAAAAAAATTGCATCTACAAGCTTTTCCATACCCATGCAAAATTTACTGGTTTATTTCTATTATTTATTATTTTACAATTTCCAGGTAAATTATATTTGTGTGAAAACTGAGAGGTCAAAAGTCCAGCTACCTACTACCTACCAGATTACACGTGCAAATACAGTTTGCATGCACACAAATATTTGCTAAAATGCACATATCCAGGAACAAGAGTTCCCTTTTAACAATGTGACCCATTTAGTCTTTGGAGTTACTCCAAGTTTACATTTGTGTAAATGAGATAAAAAACTGGCACCCCAAGTTGAGTTTTACTGACATGACAGATAAAGCAAGGAAGGATAATTTTTGGAGCAATCTTGGATAATCACCTAGGGCCAAATTTTCAGACAGCCTTTACAAGAATATTCACATTTTTTCATGCATACCTTTTCATGTGTACAAAACCTATACTCCACATTTACAAACCACTTCTAAAAAACTGTGACCTTAGATCATTTACTGTACTGCGACAACTGCCTTTTGACTGCTTATATGGATGAAGGGATCTTGTCATGACGCATGATCCTGTTCCATTGAAGTTAATGGGATGTTTCTATGGACTTTTATGGGAGCAGTCTAATGGCCATGGTAACTTATTTTGGAAAAATTTTCACAGTTTTCACTTAATCTCATAAGAATCTTAAATATAGTGTCAAGTATCAGAGGGGTAGCCATGTTAGTCTGAATCTGTAAAAAGCAACAGAGGGTCCTGTGGCACCTTTAAGACTAACAGAAATTTTAATCTTAAATCTGTTAGTCTTAAAGGTGCCACAGGACCCTCTGTTGCTTAAATATAGTGGTTGATATTTTCAAAGCAATTGAGATCATTCAGGGCCTGAACTTGCACTCATTAAGGCTAATGGCAAAGCTCTTGCTGACTTCAGTGATACAGGATCTGGCCCTTAGATAAATCTTCCATTAATTTTAATCAATATTTCTAATTTTAGTTTATACATGAATTCTATTATTATTTTCAAACCAAAAGATTATGCACAACAGAAAATGTTTTCATAGCTTCTGAAAATTTTATGTAAGTATATTCTACAGCAGTAAAAACATCAAACTGAAAGAAAATAACTATTCAATAACTCAAAATGTAAAGGCCTTAATTTAAACAATATGTACTTCTACAATATCATCAAGATTTAAATTCTATTTTAAATACCGCATCTAAATAACAATGGTGCCAACTGAACCAAAGGTTAAAGTGTTAATCCATGCATTTCCAGCCTTTCAAAATTAATTGGGTGACAAATGATTTCATTATCTAGCTCTAATTGCTTAAAAAGGCATGTAATAGATCAGCTGCAAAACCAAAGAGATCATCTTACCATGGCATTGTTTGAATTGGTTCAATAATCACTTCTTCTAAAAAACAAATGAACAACAGCTGTTTAAAGTTCTGATATACTTAGTACAAATTCTGATTTTCAATTCTAAACTTTCTTTGACTGTGACAGATATTGTAAAATGTTTCAAAGTTGCAATTAAAATTTGAACTGCTAAACAACTCAAAAACTTGCTTACTGGATTTTTTTAAATCAGGGAAAGCTAGCATATAATAAAAACCTTCCAAATACTAAATCATTATTAGGTCACTTACCTTTTGGACCAAACACATGTAATCTGCCATTTTGTCCATTCTTTTGGTCCTAAAATAACAATAATAGTAACATTAAAAATGAAAACCACTGTAATTAATTAAGATACCCATCCTGCATTAATGAGGGTTCTTGCAATGATGCAAATTCCCACTAACTTCAACAGAATTCCACACCAGGATTCAGAATTGGAGCTTTGAAATTTCTTCACCACACATACGAAAATTTCAAACAGCAGTCGCTATTGTTTTTCAATATCAATAGCTAAATAAAGAACAAAACACATCAATTGCCCATGAAAGAGATGCCGAAGTAAATCCTATAGAAAACTAAGTCTTACCTTTATGGCACCTGTCCTTTCTAAACAGTTCTGCCTAGTAGAAAACACAGACATTTGTATGAACACATACTCCTTGAACACTGGAATTTCAGTTTGTTCAAGTGGACATGTGGTAGCAAAACAAAATAAAATAAAATAAATCTAGAAGGCACCGAATTCTTACACAACTGCAATTACTGCAAACAATTACTTAATCTGGACTCTAAGGTCTGACTCAACAAAAAATACCCAGGCCTTTTCCCGGGTTTGTACAAGTCCTGGATGGTGGCTTTGGCATTAGGGCCCACACTAGAAAGAATTATAACCAGATTTACGATCTGATTCAGCAAAGCACTTAAGCACACACTGAAGTCCATCCCCTATTCTGTAAATCCTTTATGTTTTTACTATTGAGCTCACTAGGACTTAAGTATGTATTTAAGAGCTTTGCTGAATTGGAATATTAGTAGGTACAAAACACTTTCAGCTGCAATGATATTACTAATATTGTAAGTAAGCTATTTAGTGTAGACAGGGCACAGGCATTTTCAATATGATTTCAGAAAAACTTGTGTCTCCACTGTGAGCCAACTTTCCTCAGTATAGGTTAGCCTTTATCTAAGCTAGGACTTTTTATACCGTGTAGCACCAGTACATCATCACACAGCAATGATGTAACCAGGTTCAGGCATTTTAACTCACAGAGTGATTTTTTTTAAAATGTCCAATTTACACCAGTCTTTTCACCATTAGAGATTCATTAAAATAAATTTGCCATGCCCTGCACTCTACGACATAGGCACCAACTTTCCCCAGCACCAGTAGGTGCGCGAGTCCCCCTGCCCCCGGTCCCGACTCCACCCTTTCCCTGCCTCTGCCCCGCCCCCATTCCAACCCCTTCCCCAAAGTCCCAACTCCACGCCCTCCCTGCCCCTACTGGACCCCTTCCCCAAATCCCCGCTACGGCCCCGCCTCTTCCCTGAACGTGCCACATTCCTCCTGGGAGCTAGGGGAAAAAAGCGGGCATGTGGCGCACTCAGGGGAGGAGGCGGAGCGGAGGTGAGCTGGGCGGGGAGCTGCCGGTGGGTGCAGAGCACCCACCAATTTTTCCCCGGGGGTGCTCCAGGCCCGGAGCACCCATGGAGTCGGCACCTATGCTCTACGACTCCCTTTTCTGGGTCCATCTAGTCACCGTTTTTCTCCATTCCTATTAAAGACATGTGGCTGGACCTACACAAGAAAATTACTCCAGAACTAGCTGGGGAGACATATCTTTGGTCTCTATTAATGGCTAAGAATATTTCTTTAATCTTCTTTACATTTCTAAAACTTATCTAAGAGACAACAGGTGGCAGACAGCTCCTGTTCATTAAACTACTGGGGGGGGGGGGTGTGCGCGGGAGGGAGGAGGGAGCAAGAGGAGTCAAATAATATTTCTTCTGTCTGGCATCAAGAACAAATATATACAACACTCTACTCCTATGAAAGCTTGCGTGGCATTCTATCGCTGACAAATAGAGGAGATAGCTCACAGATTCAGGAGCAGCCTCTGGAGCTGTGCAACACAGAAAGGTCAGAGAATTATTGTGGCCCAGAAGCAGGGTGGATTTGATTTAAATCAAATTGATTTAAATCATGATTTAAATCACTAGTCAGGAAGACTCAATTTAATCATGGTTTTCTACATAAAAGTGCATTCTTGTTGGTTGTTATAACCTTAACACATATTCACAACTCAGAGATAGATGTAGGTTTCATTTTTAGAAGGTTCACACTATACTTTTTTAAACAGTGATTTATTTTGAAAACTTTTCAGATTAGTTTTACAGCTATATCAGAAAATGAATGATTGTTTGGTTATTTCATTTACCAAAGGTAACTGAAGAGATATTTAGGAAGTCACTGGGAGGTGAACTGTCTCCAATTCAACAGGTTAATCACTAATATTTGGAGGATTTTCTTGCCATGCTGTATTAGGAGGAGAACATCACCAGACAGACATTTAAATTATTTTATTTAACTAAAACCACCACATTAAGTATTCTGGATTTTTTTCTTCAATAGCAAACATACAATATTTTAACAAAATAAGCATATGTCTCTCGCTTCTCACATTTATCTCCAGACTTCTTCTCCTTGTCCAGATCTATTACGCCCCCCACAATCTTCTATTCATTTAACTTTTTGAAACTTTGCACTTTTAGAGAGAGGTAAGGGACTGACTCTGTGTACACAAATTTGCAGAGGGACAATAGAGTTGAGGTCTGTTATTTCTCACCTCTATATATTATTTATTTTAAAACATTTTTGCTGTTAACAAGCATGTTACCTCTGGAGACACAAATCCACAGTTTGAGAACTGCAAAACTAAGTCTGATGGTATCTTCTAGATTGAGCACTGAGTCCCATTGGGTGGATAGAAAGATTAACCTAAATAATCTATACAGAAGCCTGTGTAACCCCATAAGATTGGGTCCCTAATCCATGAACTATTAGAAGTCATTTACAAAACTTTTCTTAAACATTACATGAATATATTGTCTCATACTATAGAATTAGAATTTATAATCCCTATTCCATGATGAGATATCTTTGAGCTATAATGTATCTTAGTTAAAACTATCTTTAGATAGGTTTTTTCCTCAAAAAGCATTTTATCAAAAATAAAAAACAATAATTAAAAAAAACCAACATTGCTTTTTATCCATCCTGGCCAGAAGGCACCTTGATAGGGACTTAATCAATATGGGACAGTCTCAAAATGTTTTAAAAAAATAGAAGAAAAAAGTCTCCTTTGGGTCAGGAACAAGCATGAGTTAACTGAAAAGATACTTACTGGTAGTTCTGGTTGAGAAAAATGTATCACTAGTACAAATCTATAATATTTGAAGTACAATATGTGAATTTAACTGTTAAGAAAGTACTTGAAAATATGACATTTTACAGTCATATCACAATTATAATAAATGCTATATTTAACCTTTTTTTAATCTTTCACAATGTGCCCTTTTTGTATGAAAATTTTGATTTGACCACTGTGCATGACTCCTCTTGTGCTTGATCAATTTAATGCAATAGAAGAACCTTTAATATATGAAATGATAGTTGAATGTAACACTTTGTATTGTATCATTGCAAATCACAGTAAACAAATAAAACAATCTATTTTATATATACACCTCTACCCTGATATAATGCTGTCCTCAGGAGCCAAAAAATCTTACTGCATTATAGGTGAAACTGCGTTATATCGAACTTGCTTTGATCCGCCGGAGCGCAGCCCCGCCCCCTCCTCCCCCCGGAGTGCTGCTTTACCGCGTTATTTCCGAATTCGTGTTATATCGGGATAGAGGCGTATCATGGTTTTGGTACAAACTTCCAAAACCTAAAGAAGGAAGCTTTTTGGCCCCAAAGATTGCATATTATTATATACTGATCCAATGAAAACTCATTTCACTTACTTTTAAATACATATAAAGGACCAATAAATGGTGGATGTGGGAGGCCATCAGCAGATCGCCTTGACTCTTCCTCCACCACCAGGTCTCCCCAAATTCACCCAACTCACATTCCTTTACAGCTTGCCTCACACAACAGAAAACTTCTGGAAATTTTTTGGGGCCAAGACTGTGTCTTTCTTTTCTTACCTTGACATTGTCAAGCAGGCTTCTAGAATAAATCCATCTAAACAGAAAGATGTACATGATGTATTAAGCACAACACAGAACAAACCATGTTTTCTTAAACTGTATATTTTTCTATTCACAATTAGTTCATTATCAAAGTATACAGTTAATGTTGGGCTGTCAAAGTTTCTATACATTTACCAATGTAGATTGCACTTGAGAATTATTAGTGAGTTTATAAGAAAATGGTTTATAAAACCAGACAACAGAAAATGTTTGAAACACTGAATATTTCAAAACACTGAGCTATTAACAGATGGCTAAGATGTCAGTTTATAAATTACATTAGTACTTTTCATTTTAGATATTAATTTTCTTCTTGACATTACCTGGGTGTTCAAAAATCTCTAATACAATGCCATTTTTTAAAATGTTTCTGTATTATCTGTCTTCTTTGCCTTTATATATGGAGGACTTGTAAATGTTACATAGAACAGACTTAATGTTGGTGATGTGAGAGTACCTCTAGAATCTTCTCTTTGTACATTCCCTTTTTGATATCAAACTATTGTAAAATATAATTTTAAAAAATTAAATTACAATTTTCTTAGTTCCATTATAATTCAGTTGGTAGCACTCATCCTTGGACCAGAAGACTGTGGGTCCAAATTTCATACTAGAATTAGGGCTTATAACCAGTGTTGAAAATGCAATTAAGGATACTGTACCTCTGATGAGACATTAAACCGGGTCGAAATTGTCTATATCACATGGCTATCCAAGTGGAAGTTAATCACTCACACAGAACTTTTAGAGTCAGGGATAAATCCCATGGTCTTGTCAACATTTTCTTCCTTAGTTATAAAACAGTCTAAGTGTACAGTATAAGGTAATATGAATCTTTGTTGAGTGCATAATGGTCACTAATTTTTCTTGTTCTGCATAATGTTATTGTAAAACAATTTGGGTGCATAAAGCCAATTTATATTAAGTTTTTCTGGAAAGTTTAAAGACCAAATCCTGCTACTATATAATCAATGGCAAATTCTCATTGACATCACTCAGAGGAGACCTAAAGTATTTTTCACAGGGAACATTTATTCATTAGACTAAAGGGGATTTTTAAAATCTTGTGAAGTCCTGTTATTCTGTATGGTCTTCCTTCCTTTCTAAAGATTTTAGAACTATTCGTTCATTAACATTCTCCTGTGAATGAATGGAGATCAAATTTAGAAAATAGCCAGGGAGATATATATATTTGAAATGTGAAATACTGTAGTACTCTACAGTAACATCTACCTAAGCATACTCAATGGAGTCCCTGGTCATCAATGGCATTTGCTCAATGGCTTGCTGTATGTTCCAAACACGTTATACCGAACCATTGACTCTATGCTGAAAGGACAGAACATGCATGGTATAGACCATCTAACATTGTATTCAGCAACTGCCAAAAGAGGATATTTTAACAACCTTTTTTCCTTCTGAATAATTATAAACCAGAAATAGGGCCAGTTTTCTTTATAAAAAATTGTATCATTATATAAATAAATACAGACAACTAAAAACCTTTTAGGGTCACTGAACCAAAAAAACTAAAGCAAGATGACTTTGTAAATGTAAGAGGTATGTGCAATTATCTGAATAAATACAGATTGTGAGACAATTAATTTCCAAAGTTTGCATATGGTACATGGAGTTTCAGTTTTATGACACAGCCAGTTGTGCAGTACAGTTTCAAAGGCCCAGATGCAGGAAGGGACTTAGGTGCTACAATGCTCAGCATCGCAACACCTAACTTCTAGGCTTCTAGAAACATCACAAGAACAGCACTGCGATCCACAAAGCTTGAGGTAGGCGCCTAAGCTCCTATACAACGAATGGGGACAGATAGGAGCCTTAGACTGTGATCTACAAAGCCAGCATACTAGGTAAGGAGCCACTGAAGCCAGCCAATGGGCAACATCAACCAGATGTGTGCTAAAACCTGTCCCTATCATGGAGATAGGTGCCTAAGACTTAACTGCCTAAGTACCATCGTGGATCACACACAAATTCATGATCTGAATTTATGTTTTTAGTGTGAGGAGAGGTGTTGAAAAGATTTCTCTTCATTTTTAATTTGGAACTTGGGAACAGGATTGGGAATTTTCATATGTATTTCCATACTAGGTCTCTAAGCTTGTTAGCAGATTCTTACTCCTTGGTCTGTGCAATTTCCTGGAAAGCAGAGATGTGAACTACATAATTCACAGGGTAACACCACTAGGTAGATCCATATCGCTACACTGTTATTAGCTTTGAAAAAGTGTGAATGTGGCCACTCCGAAAGACAAGCTGCAAATATGAGGGACGTTTCTTTAAAAAATGAAAAAAAAAAAACCTTAAGTTCGAGAAAATAAAAATGGCTGGATGAAAAAAAATATGCTTACTTATAATTTTATAAGCAAATATAATAGCTACAGTTTTTTTAATTCGAATGTTGGAAATAACAACATAATTCTTCTCTTTTAAAAAAACTATATTAATTGATAAGTTATAACAAATACCATCTGGTCCAACCACTTCCAGCATTCCAGAGACCTGAAAAAATTGACAGGAAAATAATTCAACTTATCATTAAGAATTTTTTTTTTTATGGGGACAGTAAACAAATTTGTTAGCTGCATCTCGATATTCATCCAACTAGATAATTCTTCAAAATGCTCTTTTAAATGGAATCAGTCTGTTTCTTATAGAAATTAAGCCCCTTTACAAAGGTTACCACTCACATTAACAACTTTTACCTTTGTTTTAATATACAAAAGAGGGAGTGCAGTGAAGTCGGGACTATTCACATGTCAGATTGTATTTTAAACTAAATTAGCTTTCAAGTTATACAAGCATATTTTTATATGCTTTTGAAACCAGCAAACCCATATATTTCATTCTCAGTTTTAAAAAGTTTTCTATTAACAAAGAAAAAATAGCTTCTTTAGACTTGGTATACCAAATTTCTGCCTAGGTGTAGAGGAGATTTTACAGAAAATTTACGAAGTCCTGAAAAATAGGGTTTTATAATGGAAGTGCTGACACAATCTTAACTCTCAACAACATAAACTATGATGATATAATACCAGATACTAACAACAAAATTAGGCCTAACAAGACACTGAAATAAAAATGTCTTGATATCAAGTGGTTTTCACCAAAGAGATATTGAGTAACTATGTGCAGGATTTACAACTGTGCAGGATGCATTCCTGAGATCCTGATTGCTATATGCACATCTGAGATATGAAGGATATTTGCATCAAGTGTCTTGTGCTTAATTCTTGAAAATCCTGTCTATCAAAAAAGGGGAACTTAACTTTTGAAAATAGAACAGCCATGCATGCCACAAAAGCAGATGAAATTTGATCATTTACATTGATAAAGTACCATAAATTATTGGAGTATTACCAAGACTACATTTAAGGTGTGGGGGGAGACTTTAAAGAACAGAAAACAATAAATAATTCATATAATAAAGTATATAGTGCCTTACACAACCAGAAGATCAAAGTAAAAGACAAATTTTACTCTCGATTAGGACAGCAATTACTAATGCCCATAATGTGCATGCATTAGAAGGCAGAATTTGACACTAATTAAGCCACAAATCACTCCTATGAGTAGGAACCTAACAAATTCACGGTCCATTTTGGTCAAATTCTTGGTCATAGGATTTTAAAAATTGCAAATTTTATTATTTCAGCTATTTAAATCTGAAATTTCACAGTGTTGTAACTGTAGTGGTCCTGACCCAAAAAAAGGAAGGGTTCCCAAAGTTAGGGTTACCATATCTAATAAACAAAAAAAGAGGACCCTCCACGGGCCCTGGCCCCGCCCATTTCCCCACCCCAGCCCCATCCCAACTCCGCCCCTTCCCCGCCCTAACTCCGCCCCCTCCTCCCTCCCACTCACAGCCACACGGAAAGGGCTGCCCGAGCGCTACCGGCTTCACGGTTTGCCGGGCAGCCCCCAGACCCTGCGCCCCCGGCCGGTGCTTCCCCAGCACAGCTGAAGCCCAGGAGGGGAAGCGCCCAGCCGGGAGCGCAGGGTCTCGAGGCTGCCCGGCAAACCGTGAAGCCGGTAGCACTTGGGCTTCGGGCAGCCCCCATGCCTCTGGACCCTGCACCCCCGGCCGGGCACTTCCCCTCCCGGGCTCCGGCAGCGCAGGGTCCGGAGGCATGGGGGCTGCCCGAAGCCCGTAGTGCTCGGCTCTTAAACAGAGCCGAGCTGCCTGAGCGGCTACC